GTGGAGTATCAAATCAAATCTTGACAGAAGAATATTATATTTTTKTGAATTGTCAAAAATCTTAGCTAAAGCTTATTGGATTTATCTAAGAATCAAAGGTTGAGCTTTTAAACCTACTAATTGTGTCCRAAAACCGCTTTATCAATTTGACACTTAAGCGAAAATGGAATTGAAATAAGAAAGCTTATGTCTTCAGGCCATAACTAGTATTTCAAAACGAAATGTTTACAAAAATTGATTTATATCGCTGAAACATTAAACATGCATCCTTTTAATATGGGGATTAATCTGCTAGAGATTTATATAATACTTAGGTTGTGCCGGACTGTTTTTAAGAGATTTTGGTAGACTTAAATCTCGCGGAATGGACATTTCCACCCGCCATTATTTTTGACATTCATGAACTACAGTTTTTTCTTTCACATAAAACTAATATGCGGGTATGTTATTCATATCGAAAGATGTTTAATATATACAGGAATTGTATCAAAAAGAAATGACTTTGAACCGGAAAGTTAAAGCAATTCATTTTAAAAAACCAAAAATATGAGGTTTCACGGCTGGTATAAACGCAGTCTTCCGCCATGACAACATTTATCAAAGCTAGGAATTCATGTAAAAAATTAYCCAATTTCTCTTTGGCAAAGTGGCAGTTATACGTGAAAGCCAATGCCAAAACTTGTAAATTCAATTTTAATTCTAATTTAAAATCGTGYTATTTTTGAGGGTTGGGGTTGCTAGGCACAGAACTCTTTGAACCTATTAAATTTTGGTATACTTCGGTATGCCCAGTGATTTCTTTCCTATTGTGTGAGAATCAACCAATATTATTACTTGATTATGTATTTTAAAAGGCCATAACGACTACCCGTGATAAATATGAACATACGATTCAATTACTGAGCATATTTTTTCGATGCTTCAACGATTTTGAGTGTTATTTTTTACGCGCTATTTCATCTGAACAAGGAACTTATCATTACGTGTACAAAATATGATACCATTCGATTTCATGATCTTAAATACAAATTTCTCTTATAAACATTAAAGCTATTTGCCGTAAATAGAAAGAAAGAAAGCGAAAGCATAAAAATAAACTTTCTAGCTTGCTGAGTACTATAAAAGAGATAAAGAGATAAAACTGGTTTTCAAAATTGAGCATTCTACCAACCTTTAAGTATGTGAACATTGGATTCTCTTTCTCTCCGTTGACGTCTCCTTTCTCAAACAGTTGAAAAGCTGGTACGAATCCTTCGCCCGGTCGTACATACTTCACACCGTTCATAATCTCCGCCGCACTTTCTCCGGGTTCTTGGTGTCCAAATTGATTACATGGAAAGCCAAGAACTTCAAAGCTACAAGCTCCAGAGCTCTTACTTCGASTCTTCATTATTGCATTCAGTTGGCCGTAATCACGTTTGGTGTAGCCTCAGTAAGTTGCTACGTTTGTGATTAAGAGGACCTTGTTTTTATAGCCATTCCAGCTCATTTTCCGTTTATCAATATCCTTCAGTTCGAAGCTGTATATCGGGTTGCCATTTTGACATACCGAGGACTTGTTCGCTTTCACCGTGGAAGCGAAAGCTAGGAAACAAAGCACTAAAGAGAGAAGCGAGTCCATCGCTCTCGCTTCGTGCTCGTTATGAACTGACCAAAGTCAAAGTCAGTTTGGTCTTTGTTCAATCAAATATTCACCCGTCCTTAAAAAACAGATGCTGTGAAATAATTTGCATGTACGAAATTGAAACCATCCAATCAGAAAAAATAGCGGGCATATTTTGAATTGAATATATTAAGAAGCTATATTATAAAGAGAATTGTTTTGGACTCTCGTTTCTTCTGTGGTTGTACACAAATATATGTTTTGATTTTTCATATGTACAAATGAAAGTTTCATTTTAAAAGGTGCTTTAGCTGCGAAAAAAACGAAAGCGAAAAGTCTTCACTTTAGATTTGTATTTGTATATATATKCTAACGAACCAAAAAAACTTTTATAGACAGATTTTCGTAGAAATGATAAGTGAGGGTGGTCGTAATAACCTTAAAACGGACGTAATACATCAGTTAAWATGAAAGAAAATATTTGAAAACGAATGAAAAACAGATATCAAACAATTTCATGTAACGGAAGCGTCGCCATTGGAGGGTGGATTAGCCGTTATATCGAGTTATATAAAGTGYATTTAATATATAAAAGTTCATGATTATACCTTAAGCCCGCAAGTATTCTCAGCTGTGCCATATTAGACTTAAAAAAGTCAAATGAATTTAGATCCATAACACAGTCTGAATAAGTGTTAACTAATGAGCTTTCCWCACTTGCGTTTTCGAGGCACACATTTGAGGGAGAGCTAGTGGGTCAGTGCTAGATTCACTAAATAATCCGGTTTCGAATTCTCCAATGCTCTGTGTTAGTCTCATTTGTACGCAAAATATTCCTAATTGTGGGARTAAAAGTGTCAGATTTCTCGGGCTATCAATAAAACCAAAAAAWATATATATATGTCGTTTTGTTTTGAGGCACAGAGCAAACCAGAACTCGAAACTGGAGTATTTCGCGCGTAAGCCAATCACAATAAAACTACGTGTAAATAAAAATCCTTATTAAGTACATAATTATATTTTGAGAACGTGATATCCTGCTTTTGAATCCGCTGGCGCAATGAACTATGGTTAATCTGATGACGTCCGCCATTTTTATTTACTTCAATTCTAAACCTCGTTTTCTTAAAGTATAAAACTGGTGTTCATATTAACTATAAATACATGCATTTGTCTGATATCCTGATAATACATCATTTGATTTTTGATTTTTCACCAATTGTGTTTAATTTCTACTTAGAATTATGAAATCCTAATTTCTAATCACTTCTCCGACGTGCATGTTCAATGTGGGAAGCACTGCTGACACAAATATCCATGAGCCGTAGCGGAGGCAGCGCTTTCCGAGATGTGCTGGTGCATTTCTTGTTTTCGTTTAACTCTTCGATTTTGAAACCAAATTTTTACTTGTTTTTCGCTAAGGCTGAGAAGCGAAGCTATCTTCGTTCTTTCATTCTTCTGGAGGTATTTCTTTCTACTGAAAAATTTCTCCAAATATTGTCGTTGTGAAGGGGAGAAAACGGGTCGTGGACGAGGTGGCTTGCGTTGGTTGTGCGCTGAAAATAGAAAAAGGTCAATTTAAGTTTGAAAACAAAATCTTCGAGACTATTGTGCCATCCATCCAGTCAAAACAACTCTTTTAAGGAAGTCGAGAGCATATACTTCCAAATTGCTGTTTTCCGCCTTCGAATTCTCGTAAATTAAACAGTTTAGTCTAAAATTAGCTTCCTTCGCAGACTGTTTGACGAATGAAAGAATTTGTCGGTTGAAACTGCCCGGCTGCGAAGACGTCTAGGCCCAGATACCTTCAAAAGTGCAGTCACGAAAGTGTGCAACATGAATAACTGATACAAAATTAAAATTTAGCCAATTCAATTGTTTTGTATCATGGCGTGTGAAACTATCTTCAAACTACTGAAGAAGTGATTTAGATAAGAGAGAGCTACATTACGTGAATGTAAAGTATCGTAGACTACGTTTACACAGTGCCGGTCGTTCATTTTTGTYGCCGCCTCGGTTAATTTAGGACCATTCTTACTGGACACACACAGTTTGTTTTTGATCTGTTTAGTATTAAWGAGGCAAGTTCCGAATTTCCAGTTTGAACGCTAGGGCAACTAAAGTGTCCTGCGCTGTGTAAACGWTCGTTTTTTGTAACACCACCAACCTCTGGTGGAAGAACCGTATAGAATCTTTTCAATGCCAAACTTAAGCTCTGGCTTCGCTGATGATGGRCTGGWAGGGCTGTCCACTTCATCACTTGTCGAATGTGTWGTCAAATCTTTCTCGTCGCCTTGGCTTTCCTCGTGAAGTGTATCGCCTTCAGTTTTTGAGCCACGTCGAGGGATAGTTAAGTCATTATCGCCTGGAATATGAACCGAAATTGCATTCACGGGGTGTGATGTCATCGGAAGCCATTCTGGCGCGTTTGGACAAAGTGCACAAAACGGATATGAATATTGTCTGACTGGCACAATGGCGCCACCAAGGAGCTGCAGACGCTCAACTTCGCAGTAGCTACAATGCGTCGCCATGAAGTCGCCGCTATCTTTAACTGACTCAAGTGCATTCCGACGCTTGATTTTATTCTTAGGTAGAACATCTGATATGTTTTTGTAAGGTTCTTAGTTGAAGTGTTTTATCAAGCGTCCTGTCTCGAAAACAAACGAAAGTTATATCAAGGMTCAGGGGGGCTGGCCAGGTCATCTAGAAAAGGGCCATGTTCAGTCGAAATTGTCTAAGCAAATCGGAAGTGAAAACTTATCAAAACATTGAAAGCTGCAGTTATCGATCKCTTATCTGAAGTGTATGAATACTTGACGTTTATCCATCGTAAAGTGTGCGGTGTTTTATTCGGTTTTTGAAGAACAGGGTTCTGAAATGTCATATTCAAAAAGTTGTTTTTATGGAATTTAAGGGTCTACTAATATTAATATCTATTCGCGTATAGTAACTAGTTAACTACATGTTAATTCCGTTAAACCCGCTCTAAGCCCGTGAAACAGACTCCAATGGTTAATGTGTAATAGTCAAATAAACAAAGAAAACAATGGAATTAGAGACTACTAAGGTGTATTCGCGGATTARATCCGTTAACCAAATTTCAAAAGTCATTGATTATTACCAAAAAGGTCTATTCAAGATGGCGGTCGTATTGGGAATAAGGTCTATTCAAGATGGCGGTCGTATTGGTAATAAGGTCTATTCAAGATGGTGGTCGTATTGGTAATAAGGTCTATTCAAGATGGCGGTCGTATTGGTAATAAGGTCTATTCAAGATGGTGGTCGTATTGGTACATAATTATATTCAAGATGGCGGTCGTATTGGTAATAAGGTCTATTCAAGGTGGTGGTCGTATTGGTAATAAGGTCTATTCAAGATGGCGGTCGTGTTGGTAATAAGGTCTATTCAAGATGGCGGTCGTATTGGTAATAAGATCTATTCAAGATGGCGGTCGTATCAGTAATACGGTCTATTCAAGATGGCGGTCGTATTGGTAATAAGGTCTATTCAAGATGGCGGTCGTATTGGTAATAAGCTCAATTCAAGATGGCGGTCGTATTGGTAATAAGGTCTATTCAAGATGGCGGTCGTATTGGTAATAAGGTCTATTCAAGATGGCGGTCGTATTGGTAATAAGGTCTATTCAAGATGGCGGTCGTATTGGTAATAAGGTCTGCTGGAACTGCTAATTGAT